ACACACACACACACACACACACACACACACACACACACACACACACACACACACACACGAGCGCCAGGACAAACTTAATTATTTTGACTATATGCCAAATTATATAAGTACAATAAGGATTACATTGTCCTCTTCATATTTACCTATGTGGCCCAGTTTAATAACCTAGTTTGATTAGCTCTTAAGAAGCAGGTTTTGCAGGGTGTGGTGGTCCATGCCTGGAATCTTAGCACTCAGGAGATGGAGGTAGGAGAGTCAGTTTAAAGTTATTCTTGGATACATATCCTTTAGGGGCAGCCTAGTCTATGAGAACCCATCTCAAAAAACAAAACGCCGGATTTTTATATACCCAAAGACTTGGTTAACTCTGCATACACTATGCAGTACAATTCTTTAGTCTTGGGTTCTATGCTCACTACGAAGGGTGCTGTCTCCTTTACCAAATTTTTTTTTGTTTTGTTTTTCAGGCATGTTTTTTTGTGTAGCCTTAACTGTCCTGGGACCATTTAGTAGACCAGGTTGGCCTTGAACTCACAGAGATCTACCTCCTGGGTGCTTGGATTAAAGGCATGCGCTGCTGCCACCCAGCTTTTTATGTTTCTTTAAAAAAAAATTATTCATTTTACATACCAACCACAGATCCCCCTCTCAACCCTCCTTCTGCTCCCCCCTAGTCTCTTCTCCCACCTCTCCCACCCTCTCCTCCAAAATGGTAAGGCCTCCCATGGGGAGTCAGCAAAGCCTGGTACATTCAGTTGAGGCAGGACCGAGCCCCTCCCACTGCATCAAGGCTGAGCAAGGCATCCAACCATAGGCAATGGGCTCCAGAAAGCCAGCTCACGCACCAGGGATAGATCCTGATCACACTGCCAGGGGCCCCTCAAACAGACCAAGCTACACAACTGTCTCCTGTGTGCAGAGGGTCTAGTCCGGTCCCATGCAGGTTCCATAGCTGTCGGTCTAAAGTTCATGAGTTATCTTAACGGCTGAGCCATTCATGGCTCAAGCCGGGGAAAAACAATCTTTAAGCTGTCACTGAATGGTGAAAAGCAGAAACTTAGACCAAATTCTGCGGGGCTGTGGGGGTACCTCGGCCACAGAACACGTTAGCACACAGATCAATCTCTAGCACAACAGATCAACTCTCCAGATTGGCACTAATTACAAATAAAATGTTTCAATATTGCCTAGGATGGGACCACCCTGGTCAACAGTGAGAGATGCCCACCCCAACTTAAAAAAATGGCTTAAAATTGTATTAGAATTCTTTTCTCACTAAGTATGAATAGGTAATGTCTTCCTTTCATTGACCTTGATTCATATCCTGTCCCATTGTTCAGAGAAGGGAAAACAGGCTGATGGTAATCATCCGGCTCCAAGACAAAGAACAAGGGCTCGTGTCTCCTTCAGTGTCTGCCACCATGACAAAGCCTTTAGGCCTCTGTACGAACTGTGAATCCATTACAAATAGAAACAATTTAACTCATCTTACTAAGAAAATAACATGGGCACACAAGAGGGTCCCAAGGAGAAGCCTGCTTGCAGGTTCCTGCTGAACAGAAACTACGGCGGGGCTCAAGGACACACAATCCTATTCATAACGGCAGCCAATGTAACAGGTGGCTCATTTGCTCTTTCCGCACCCTACCAATTAGCATTACTCACAGTCTGTCCCTTGTCACAGATGTCTGCTTCCAGCTCTGGGAACCGAGGCATTTTGGACTACTCAAAACCTGGACTACTTTTACAATGACACAGAAGCCAGACCCTCAAACTATAAAAAAGACATTCTGTAGAGACGGCTATTATAGGTGAGTGGATACACCGTCTCCCTTCACTTCAGGGACATCTCCCCATCCCTTCAGTGACAGGTAGAAGAGGCAGGCGCCCTTCTTATGTACTTACTGTTGGAAGGCAGCCATGGTGTTCTCCAGGTTTTCTCCGGCACCTGTAGAAACGCAGAGTTTAAATTCATTTACTTGTCATTTTGAACATTTTATTTCTCTAAAAATTACAATGAGCCGTGTGTGTGTGTGTGTTTGTGTGTGCATATGTGTGAAGTGGGTAGAATCCTTCTATTTTTCATTTTCCATCTTTTTTTTTTTTCTCGAGACAGGGTTTCTCTGTGTAGTCCTGGCTTTCCTGGATCTCACTCTATAGACCAGGCTGGCCTTGAACTCAGAGATCTGCCTGCCTCTGCCTCCCAAAGGCATGCACCATCACTGATTTAGGTCAACCAGTATGTATTGAATGGATTTCAGATAATGATTCCTTCACTGTCCATGGAGGTCACTGATATTCCTCCAGAGCTCCTTTTAACGGCTGGAGATACAGCTTCGTTAGTAGAGGGCCTAATGTCTACAAAACCCTACATTCACTCTCCAGCACTTTGTGGTACTATAAACCAGGCATGGTAGCCCATGTCTATAATCGAAGCACTTGGAAGGCAAAGGCAGAAAGACCAGGAGACAGAGGCCAGCCTGGGCTACATCAGACAGTATTTAAAAAACAAAAACAAAAACTCTCTTTCAAAGACCTGCTGTTTAATTCAGTTGTGCTCTCAGCCCACAATCTTTTTTTTTTTTTTTTTTGGTGTTTTTCGAGACAGGGTTTCTCTGTGTTGTTTTGGTGCCTGTCCTGGATCTCTCTCTCTGTAGACCAGGCTGGCTTCCAACTCAGAGATCTGCCTGCCTCTGCCTCCAGAGTGCTGGGATTAAAGGTGTGCGCCACCACTGCCCAGCTTGATGTCTAATTTTTAAAGCAATTTATCCAGGATCCATTTTAGGATGAAATGGTTTTCAATTGCTGGCTACTAATAATGCCTATTAGCTTCCTAGTAGAAGAAACTACAGAGACCATGGAGGGTCAATATTTCGACTCAGAGCTCATCTACCCCAGGCACCGCATGATATTCATCCACAAAGACTGCAAGGTGTTCAGACTCTGCAAACCCAAAGGTCATAAAAACCGTAAGAAACACAATCCTTTCACGGTCAGGTGGCCTTCCACAGGGCAGCTCCTAAGAGCGCACAGTAGACAGTTCATTTGAAAAGCGCAGAAAGGAGCCTGTGAAACTAGGAAGAGTTACAGAGAAAAGCTACTGATGCAGTGAATCAGTGAAATCATTGAAGAGATCAACCAGAAATGCCAAGCTGAATTTATACTGAACAGGCTGAAGAACAGTGAGAAAGTTCAGGACACCAAAGTCAGCAAATGCCGGGTTTGACATGGTTACAGCTACAGGGCCCAGGAAGCCAACTATGCCGGAATTGGATTTCTATCACGCTGTCCTTTCAATTTTCAGGGTTGCTGCTATTGTTGTTGTTTCCAAGATAGTGTTTCTCCACGTAGCTTTGGAGTCTGTCCTGGATCTCTCTCTGTAGCCCAGGCTGGCCTCGAACTCACAGAGATCCACCTGCCTCTGCCTCTTGAGTGCTGGGATTAAAGGCGTGCACCACCACCACCACCACCACCACCACCACCACCACCCAGCTTTTCTTTTTCTTTTCTTTTCTGACTGGTTCTCATGTAGTTCAGGCTGGCCTCCAACTCACTATGTAATAGAGGAAACACTTGAACTCCTGATCCTCCTGCCTCCACCTCGCAAGTGCTGGGATGATAACCCACTTGGTAATTCTCAGGGGTTATGTTTGCAAGCATGCGTCCCTGTACGTGCATGTTTGTGTGTGAATAAGGGGGTGAGGGGACGGCACAGCATGTGTGTGTGGATCAGATGACAATTTCAGGTCTGCCTTCTACTGTGTTTGACGGTGTCTGTGGCTTGGCCACTGCTTATGGCAGGCTAGCTGGCCCTTGAGCACCTATCTCTGACTGCCACCTCCTCCAAGGAGCGCTGGGATTACAGATGTGGTACACATCTGGCTTTTACATGGGTTCAGATTCACATTCTTACACTTGCCTGGCAAGCACTTTTACTTCTGGAGCCATCTCTCCAGCCCCGACTTTCAGGTTTTTTGGGGGGGTGGGAGGTGGCGGGGGGGGGGGTGATTTGTTTATTTATTTTGAGATAGGGTTTTAGCTGGATGTGGTGGCACTCACCTTAAATCCCAGCACTCGGGGGCAGAGGCAGGAGGATCTCTGTGAGTTCGAGGCCAGCTGGGTCTACAAAGAGAGTTCCAGAAAAATAAAATAAAATAAAATAAAATAAAATAAATCAAGAGACAGGGTTTTAGCCCAGGTAGCCTGAAACTCACTAAGCAGCCTAGGCTGGCCCTCAAATTCTTAGTAATCCACCTGCCTTAGCATGCATGAGCTACCATGCCTTACATAATTATAGGTGATACTGACCACCTCCCCTTTTTTCTGAGATCTATCTGCCTCTGCCTCCCGAGTGCTGGGATTAAAGGCAGGAGCCACCACTGCCCGGCTCCCTAAGAATTTTAATGGCAATGCAGGGTGTGGTGGTGACTGTAAACTTAGCTTTATAAAGCCAAGGGAGAATTGTGAGTCTGAGGCTAGCCCAGACTACTACACAGTGAGATCCCAAAATGAAATAACAAAATACCACCACCCAAAACAAAACCTTAGCACTTGAGCCACATAAATGAGTATTTCTGAGCTTGTCTTTTTAACGTGAACTCTGTGGCAGGCTTTCATGGTGCCATGTTGCTATTCAGATAGCTCTTACTTTTCAGTTTTACAGGTAAATGATTTCCACATCCTTCTGTTTGCTGTAAAACTAGGAAGTGAATTCCAGGAGGACTATCCCTGCGGATTACTGGGACTCATATGGTGAAGCTCACAGAGTAACTAAGGGACTAATTAAGAAACATAGTGTTCCTCTCCAAGGAACCATTTAGTGGTAGGTCCTCCCTCGTGAACTTGCTCGAATTTCACTTTCTCTCAAATAATAATCACGTGACTCATAGAAACAGCCTAATTAATTTTTTGTTTCTCTAATAAGTAACTACAGTTTTCAGAGCTACAATTAAACAATTCTGTGTTTTTGAGACAGGGTCTTGTGAACTCCAGGCTAGCTCCGAACTCACTATGCAGCTGAGGATGACTTTGAAGTTCTGATCCTTTTGTTTCCACGTTTCAGTGCTGGGATTACAACATGTACCACCATTCCTGGCTTACATGGGTCTGGGGATGGAAACTTGGGGTTTCATGCATGTTAGTTAGGCAAGTACCATTTCCTCAGCTCCTCACAATTTTCATTACACATTACTTCATGTGAGTGGGGTGGGAGCACACGTGCCACAGTGTGCATGTGCAGGTCAGAAGACGAGTGTCTGTGATAAAGGCCATTGCCAAAATCAACATGAAAAGGAAGGGGTTTGTGTCAGCTGTCAGCTTTCACTTCCAGGTCACAGTCCATCGCTGAGGGAGGACGGGGGCAGGAACTCAAATGAGGCAGGAACCTGGAGGCAGGAACCGAAGCAGAAGCCATGGTGGAGCGCTGCTTACTGACTTGTTCCTCATAGCTGGCTCAGCCTGCTTTCTTATACCACCCAGGACCACTTGCCCAGGGATGGCACCACCCACAATTGACTGAGCCCTCCCATATCAATTATTAGTCAAGAAAACACTCTACAGACTTGCCTACGGGCAATCTGATGGAGGTGTTTTCTCAATTAAGACTCCCTCTTCTCAGATATGTCCAGGCTTGCGTCGAGTTGACACAAACCAACCAACACATCTCCCGTGTGAGTCCTGTGGATCAAATTCAGGTTGTTAGTCATGGCAGCTGACATCTTTATCTACTGAGCCATCTCGCCAGCCCTATTATTAGTTTATTCAGATGGAGTCTTAAGTAGCCCAAGGTGGCTCCCAACTCAATACGCATCCAGGGATGACTTTGAACTCCTGATAGTCCTGCCTCGAGTGTGTTTGTGTTTTAGCCATCTCACTATATAGACCAGGCTGGCTTAAAACTTACAACCTAACTACCTTAGCCTCCCAGCTTCTAGGACTACCCTATCATCAATTTTATTTATTGTTTCACTGTACACTTTTATTGTGTGTGTATGGGTGGGTGTTTATATTAGGAGGAAAACTCTAGGTGTCATTTTTCAATTGCTAACACTTTTTTTTTTTGAGACAGAATATCTCATTGGCCTAGAGTTCACCTGTTGTGAGATATTTGTACATTGTGTAAAGATGCACTGCTGTGATTGGTGTGATAAAGAGCTGAAAGGACAATGGCTAGGCAAGAGAGGATAGGCAGGATTTCAGAGAGAGGAAGAGGAGGAGAAATCTAGGTACACAGATTTCCCAACGGAGCAAGCTAGATGTGCCACACTAATAAGAGGCTGGTGGTCCTGATGAGAAAGTCAACTACATATGGCACCCAATATGGGGCACCAGGTGAAGCATTTATCTAGTTATCTTTATCAATAAAAACTCAGGAGTCAGATATCAGAGTAAGAACCTGATCGATCAGAGAAACAGTGGAGAATTAACCACTAACCTCCCCTCTCTCTCCTTCCTCAATCCAAAAGGGCCAAGAATCTTTCTAAGCCCCTCGATACCACTTCCTGTATCTCTCTATCTGTCCTCAGTCCTCCAAAACCTCTATGGCTACTTTGGTCAGCTAGTAGCTAGCTGCGCCCTCTGATTCAAAGTAAACTTTGTTGACAGTCTTGGGTGTATCAGAGTACGATCAGAATATCCCACAACACTCACCACATAGATTATGCTAGCTGGCCAGAGACCAAAGGACCTGTCTGTCTCCACCTCCCAGCACTGGGAATACATGTACATACCACTCACTGTACCCAGCTTCTTTTTTTTTTCCTTTAATTAATTTATTTTTTTATTTTATGTGCATTGGTGTTTTGCCATGGGTGTCAGGTCCCCTGGAACTGGAGCTACAGATAGTTGTGAGCCGCCATGTGGGTGCTGGGAATTGAACCTGGGTCCTCTGGAAGAGCAGTCAGTGCTCTTAACCACTAAACCACTTAACATCTCTCTAGCCCCAGCTTCTTTTACCCAGGTTCTGGGAATCAAACTTGGGTTCTCTTACCAACTGGGTGATCTCCCAGCCTCCTCTGTTTTCCGTTTATATTAATTTCCCTCCTTTATGTAGTGCTTCCTAATTACTTTGAATTGGTTAATCTTTGATAGGATAAGATAAGGAAACATTGTACTTTGTATCCTTACATAAGCTTTTTTTCTAAAACTTTTTATCTTTTTTTTTTTTTATGTGCATTGGTGTGAAGGTGTCAGATCCCCCAGAACCTGAGTTACAGACAAGTGAGCTGCCATGTAGGTGCTGGGAATTGAACCTGGGTCCTCTGGAAGAGCAGCCAGTGCTCTTAACCACTGAGCCATCTCTTCACCCCCTACATAAGATTTCTTTTTAAAACATTTATTTTACACATGTGCGCACACACATGCATGAAGTCAGACAAATTGTGGGAGTCAGCTCTCCTCTCCCACCATGTTGGGTCCCTCAGATTGAACTTGGATTGCCAGGCCTGGCAGCAGGTGCCTCTGCCCCTCGCCCTGCCGGTGATCTAGATTTAAATGCTATGAAGGAAAGCAATATTGGTTCATCTCCTTCTATAATATTTCAGATGTTTTGTATATGAATCAATGTTTCCTTTTCTGGTAGTTTTTGTCTGCCCACCATTATATTACCATTAACAACTCATATATAAGACATACAACGTGCTAGTGTGCTGTTTATAAAACCAATGAAAAACTATGACAACAGCTTCAGCCACAAAAGAATCATCCTCAAAAGGAAGATTGGTGGTGACAAATACCTGGGGTGCCAGCACTCGGAAGCTGAGGCCATTCTGTTCAAAGCCAGCCTGAAGTCTACAGTCAGACTATTTAAAAAAAAAATGGCAAGGGCTGGACTGGATAGATAGCACAGTATATAAATCATTTGCTTCAGATTCCTAGAACCCGTGCACAAGCCAGAAGCACAGAAGCAGGAGAACCCAGAACCCATGCATAAGCCAGAAGCACAGAAGCAGCAGAACCCAGAACCCATGCATAAGCCAGAAGCAGCAGAACCCAGAACCCATGCATAAGACAGAAGCAGCAGAACCCAGAACTCATGCATAAGACAGAAGCAGCAGAACCAGCATCTGGTGTGTAATCCCAGTGCCCCTACTGGTAGATGGGAGGCCAGTTAGGAGAAGCTCCAATCCCCAATTCAAGTTTACTGGTGAGTCCAGACATGAACAAGAGGCTCCATTTCAAACAAGGTGAAAGACAAGGACCACTGTCTGATGTTGTTCTCTGACCTCTGCACACCCATACACAGACATATTAAACAGCCATCACCACCAGCTGGGCACATGCCTTTGATCCCAGCATTTGGGAGGCAGAGGCAGGCAGTCTGAGTTCAAGGCCAGCCTGCTCTACAGAGATAGTTCCAGGACAGGCAGGACTATACAGAAAAAAACCCTGTCTTGAAAAAATAAAATAAAAGTGGAAAACTGTGTTGAACTGATAAAATTATACAAAAGAATGATAATGTATTTCTATGACATATTTGCCATAATAGAAGTCATGGTCCCAGCATAGTGGTCCAAGACTTTACTAAACCCAGCACTGGAAAGACAGAGGCAGAGTTTTAGAACTGCCTGGTCTACATAGCAACTTGCAGGCCAGCCCAGCACTCCATAGCAAGACCCCATCTTTGAAAAATCTAAACCCAAAAAACATTATACTACATCAAATTTTATGCTATAGAATTTACCATTAAACTGTACATGACAAGCAATTTTCTTTCTTTCTTTCTTTCTTTCTTTCTTTCTTTCTTTCTTTCTTTCTTTCTTTCTTTCTTTCTTTCTTTCTCTTTCCTTCCTTCCTTCCTTCCTT